GTAGCACTGGGGCAGCATTTCCCCCTGGCTGGGAGTGGGAGGGAGGAGGGGGCGGAGTTAGGGTGAGGAAGGGGCGGAGTTGGGGCGGGGCTAGGGGGTGGGGAAATGGGCGGGGCCAGGGCCCATGCAGGGTCCTCTTTTTTTATTTATGAGATATGGTAACCCTCCCCTCCCCCCCCCCCACTCAGCAACAGCAGTGGTAGTCTAGGGAGGGAGATTCCAGGAAGCAGAAGCAGAAGCAGCCCAGGAAAGGAGGGAGAGCTCCAGCCAGCCAGGCAGCCCAAGCTAGGCTGATTGGGGAAGCAGCCAGGTGTGGCCAGCTCAATTAGGGCCCAGCTGGCCCTGATAAGAGGGCTGTGAGCCAAGTGCTGAGGAGTCTCTCTCTCCAGCCTTGGACAGAGAAGGATTTGGCTGCCTGGGAGCTCAGGAAACAGGGAATGGAGCATGGCTGGGGAAAGGCAAGAGCAGCTGGGGAGCAGGACCGGCTTTAGCAGGTGCGGGGCCCCTCCCTGCCCCATTGGATCCCTCCCCAAATCCCTGCCCCCTCACTGCCCCATTGGATCTCTGGCCCCGCATCTTCCCCAAGCACGCCGCATTCCTCCTTCTCATCCCTCCCTCCCAGGCTTGCGCTGATCAGCTGTATGGTGGCGCAAGCGCTGGAGGGAGGGGGGAGAAGCAGGATGCAGCTCTTTTTTTTTTTTCACTCCGCCGGCAGCCCTGGACGTTGTGGGGCCCCATTCCGGGGAATCGGCTTAAAGCCGGCCCTTCTGGGGAGCTCCAGCCTAGTAAATCCCCAGGCTGTAGGCCTTGCTAAAAGGCCAAAACAGGTGCTGGGGTTGCAGAGGCTGCAGCCTGGGATTAGGCAGAGGCGGTTGGTCCGACCCCCTTGACAATGATGAGTGGCCTTTTACAGAGTGCCGTTTACCCCAGTGAGAGGAGGCTAGATGATGACTGGCAGTAGCCACTGAGGCAAGGCAGGTTTAGAGGGTTGGGGGTTCCCTTGGGAGGGGAGACCCAGAGCATGGGGGTACTGCTGGGGCAAAACCCTGAGGTAAAGGGCACCAGGAGGGACACGGGGCCAGCGGCAGGTGAGACATGTGCCTGCAGAGGGGGCTCCATATGCTGGAAAAGAGCTAATTCCCAGATGACCAACAGGAGGCGCTGCGCCAGTGGTTCTTTGACCAAATTTGCTACACTAGCTCCCACATAGCTCTTTTCATCAGCTCTCAAAGCACTTCACAACCTTTATTTTATTTATGCTCACGACATCCCTGTGAAGTAAGGCACTGCTATTATCTCTATTTATAAGATCAGGAAATGAGGCCCAGAAAGGCTAATTGACTTACCCATTGTCGTGTAAGAAGTCTGTGGCAAAGCAACTGCTAGGCTAGTGCCCTAACCACTGGACCTTGGTAAATAGCACAGTCTCCATTTTACAGATGGGGAAATGGGGGCACAGAGTTATCAGATGATTTACCAAAACTCACATAGCGAATCAGTGGCCCAGCCATGAACAAAACAAGAAATTTCTGATTTCCAACCTGTGCCCTGGCCACTTTGCACAGTATCCAGTGAGCTCCTTACAGCCCCACTCCAAGATGCGGCCTCTTCTGTGTCCTTAACGGTAAGGAGCATGGATCGAGCCAGCAGTTGAGACAAGTGGCCCCTCCAGCCAGAACTCTGCCTCTTGCCGCATGCAAAACCTAATGTCTCAGAGGAAGCCAAGCACCCCCACAACGCACTGGGCCTGTGCTGCCCCCTGGCGCCAACCTCTCGCTTCGCAGTGGAGCACGTTTTGTCCAGCTCCACGCGTGACATTTCTCACGCCCCAGGGCCCTTGGAGCTGGGAGGGCAGCACTAGCCCGACCCCTGAGGCTGAGGGCCCTAGGTGAGCGTGGGTGGTCGGTGTGGGCGGGGTCAGGAGGCCCCTGTCTGTGTATAGCACTAGGTTCATACTGGCTCCTCTGTGCCAAATGGCAGGGAGCAAAGCTCCCGCTGCTATTGCGCATAGGCAAAATATTCCTAGCGGCGGCCTGGCCAAGGCGGAGGCAAAGCAGTCCATCTCCTTGCGCATGCGCCTACCCCCATCGTCTCGCGGTTGGAAGGCGATCGTGCCTGGCTCCTGCGCCTTGGCAGTGTGAGTTCGCGTGTGCGCCTGCGCCGGCCTGTCAGGCTGGGGGGAGCGGCTGATATCCGAGCGGGCGGCGGAGGCGGCGCCGGGTAAGGGAGCGTGGCGGGGATCAGCTTCCAAAAAGAGTTAGGGAGCGGGTCTGGGGGGCGGGCAGCCACACCCGGCCCAGGCTGCGGGGGTGCCATGGAGGGCTGTGATGGGGGTGGGGGAACAGTGGGGTGCAGCACTGGGGGCTATGGGACAGTATGGAGGACTATGATGGGGATGGGGGAACAGTGGGGTGCACCGTTGGCGACTATAGTGCAGTATGGAGGACTATGATGGGGTGGGGGAGCAGTGGGGCACAGCACTGGGGGCTATGGGGTACCATGAGGGCTGTGATGGGGTGGGGGAGCAATGGGGTGCACTGTTGGGGACTATGAGGGTGGGGGAGCAGTGGGGCAGGTGATGGGGTGGAGTTGGAGCATAGGGGAGCAGTGGGGTGCACCTTGGGGTTGATGGTGTGGGGTGTAGTATTAAGGAGTAGGAGGGATGTGACATGGGTGTGATGGGGTTGGGGGTGCTGTATGGGGTAGGGGTGCACCTTGGGGGGAGCAGTGAAGTGCATTATGGGAGTTGGAGTACAGTTTGGGGTGTGTGAGCAGACTGGGGGTACATCTAAGTGTACAGGGGTTGGAGTGTAGCAGTGGGGTTCAGTGGGTCTAGAGGTACTGCTTGGGATGGCCGTGTGTCTAGCGACATAGTATACAGGGGTCACAGGAAGATGGGGAATGGTATTCTGAAAAGTGGGATGCACTCAGCTATTGGGGAGAGTGGAAGGGGACTGAAGAAAGGCCTTTAATCTCAGATAGTGGGAGGGGGGCGGGAGGTTTTAGTTGGGCAAGGGGTGGGGAAACTTTGAGAAGATGGGGAAGGTTGGGGACCCTCTGTGGTATCTGGAAAATGTAGGCTCAGGCATTGCTGGCTGCTGCCTCTGTCAATTGGCATGGATGTTGACACCATAAGCAATTTGAATTGTTAGTGGTTACTGAGTTGTTGTTTTGGAAACACAAGTGACAAGCATGGATTTAAATTTGAAATACCGATCTATTTGTTTTTTTTATTCACATAATGTGGGGTTTAATGCAGCAGACTGTTTGCTGTTAGGTTAAAATTTCCATTATCCTGTAGATTATGGGAACTGCTTGTGTAAACAACATTGAAGTGTGCTTGTTATTTTTTAACATATTTGTTTTAAATCCAGTGAAAACTCCACATTGATTCTGCAACAGTGCACACAAAATAGGAATAAAAATAATCCCAGGCTCCAAAAATTAACCTGAAAACCTCTAACTTCAGATGGTAGGTTTGAAATTTATGGGTTTGATTTCTACCTCCTCAGTTATAACAAAGTGTCTTCAAAACACCATGTGAGTTTATATTTATTAGAGGCTGATGCAAATCATGAGTTACCAATTAAGTATTGGCAGTGATATTTCAGGACTGTTTCACTGATAAACATTTTGCACAATATCTGGTTGTGTGTAAGGGTTAGTTGCTCCTTTTCTGCCACCAAAAGGCTATCTGTGGTCGTCTCCCAGACGCACAGCATATTTCAATAACAGATAGCAAAACTTCATAACTTCAAATACAATGGTAACACATATAATTCAATAGGATAGTAATGTTCAACAGATCATGACCTCTCAAATGGGACCTGCACAAAGCATATCATAATTATATCACAGTGGTGAATATGGCGTTGCAGGGTGCTATTTGAGGTACAGAGTGGCACACTGGTTCACAACCAAAGGCAGAAAACTAACAAACTTTAAAAAAAAAATCACAAGCTTTAAAGTTTAAAGTTTCCCAAATACCGAACATTTGAAGTAAATAACTTGCAGAAATTAGTGCCCTGAAGGAAGACAAAGAGCAGTTTATTCTCCATATGCAACCCTGTGCTATGACTGCAAGGCAGGTATCCTTTCATTCCTTTCGGCCAGGGCCGGCTCTAGGCACCAGCAAAACAAGCTGGTGCTTGGGGCGGCACATTTTTAGGGGCGGCATGGCCGGCGCCAGAATGCCGCCCCTAAAAATGTGCCCCGGCCACCCTATCTCACCTCCGCTGCTGCTGCCATGGCGCGCAAAACAGCTGATTCACGCGCCACTACTCGCCCTCCCTCCCAGGCTCTCAAACCTGGGAGGGAGGGGGAGCAGCGGTGCGCGAATCAGCTGTTTCGCGCGCTGCGGCGGCTCGGGGTCTCCCCCTCCCTCCCAGGCTCTCAAACCTGGGAGGGAGGGGGAGATCCCGAGCGGCCGTTTCGCGCGCCACTGCTCCCCCTCCGTCCCAGGCTTGAGAGCCTGGGAGGGGGGGAGACTCCGAGTGGCCGCGGCGCGGGCGCCGCTTCTCCCCCTCCCTCCGGGGAGGAGGCAGGGCTGGGGATTTGGGGAAGGGGCGGAGCTGAGGCGGGGCCGGGGGTGGGGTAATTAAAGAACCGAGGGGGGGCGGCCAAAATTGTTTTTGCTTTGGGCGGCAAAAATCCTAGAGCCGGCCCTGCTTTCGGCAGGTGAAATCCTAAATTTCCAAAGTCAGGCCTAGCGTGATTTTCA